ATATTCATTTTCCTGTCAGTTAGTCAGTAGTATGAGCAGAGCACGCTCCATTGAAATATGTCCCAGAGAAGCTGCATTGTGCTGGCGTTAATGGCTTGACCGCTACACGTACAAGCACGTGAGAGGTAGCTCCATTCCAACCGACATAAATGCTCTCTCTCTTCTGCATTCTTGTGCTATAAATGCTCCTGCAATTTCACACTTGCACGTACTTGTAGTGATTATCTTCTTTTTTTGGCTCGTATTAGTAACAACTCAAAATCGACAAGGAATTGTTCACAAATATTACAGGGTTTTTCTGCACGCATGTTGATCTCGTATACAGTGATGAAGAATTGGCTTTCTCGAATTTTCTCTTGGGTTTCGACAGAACCCATTGTTTCTGAATCTGGGCTTCTCTTTTCAGTTATGAAGAACGTCACTATGGCTCTACTCACTTGCATTTTTGCTTTAGGTATGTTCAATTTGATCTTGTTAAGTTCCGAACACTACTGGGTGTTTTCGAACATTCCCCTATGGCCTGGACCTGTATAATTTCAAAATTCTGTCTATTTTTTTCTATTTATTCATGAATTAATAATTCTCAAATTGGGATTTTTTAGGCGGAGCTACGATCGGAGCAATCACCGGAGGACTCAAAGGACAGACTACAGAAACTGGTTTTTCACGTGGTGTGGCTGTTGGTACGGTGGCGGGGGCCATCACTGGCGTCCAATTGATGGAACTCATAGTTAATGGAGAGCCATTTTCTAAGGTGATGCATGCAATACATAAAACTGGGTAGAATGCCAAATTTAATAATATCGCTTTCATGTGTAAAAATTCACCTGCAAACTGCAGTAATTGATGTTTTTGGGGTAGCTCAATACTTTCATTAATGTCCCGTTTGATTTTTTCATTATAGGGACCAAAGTTATCTTTGTTACAAGAAATGTATCTTTCTGCCAATGTTAGAATGATGTGCCCAAATAGATTTCTTGTATGAAAATGCGTTTAATTTTGTGATTAAATGAATGGAGAGTTCTTGATATTTCAAAGCGTTAATCTTTTGTCCAACATCGTGATAATTTTTCGGTTTGCGCTGATATGTGGTTTGTTGAAACCATACATGATCTTTCGGGTTGCAATAATTTAGTTTGTCGTTCAACATTTGGATAATCTTTCGGGTTGTGCTGATATTTAGTTTGGTGAAATCAATGATCTTTGAGGTTGCACTAATAAGTGGATTTCTTCTTGTATGAACATACATTTGCTTCTATGATTAAGAATAATGTTGTGT